TCCAATCTTCTTCATACTTGTCCCCACTCGAGTAACATACTTGAGCTTTCTTGTTTCCATATTCATCCATATTGCAATCCTTTGTCAAGTGTGGGCCACTACATCTCTCGCAACCAACTCGAATTGCATGAATTGATTGGTCCATTTGAGTCAATCTCCTATCCATAGTGCTAAGCATTGCCATCACAGCAGCCATCTCTTCAGTTTGTGTACCTCCACTGCCTTTCATTCCATCGCGTCCTGGGTTGTGATACTCACGAGAGTGCTTTGAAAATTCTTCAACCAGCTCCTTGGCCTGAATTGGGTTCTTCTTTGTTAGTGGTCCTTGTGAATCAAGGAGTTGTCTAGTCATGACATTCACCCCATCATAAAATATCGACATTTCTTGCTGAAGATTTAGGTCATGTTGAGGACAATTCCTTAACAACCCCTTGTAGCGCTCCCATGCCTCGTATAATGACTCCCCCGGATTTTGCTCAAAGTTGGCAATTGCCTTCTTGAGTTTAGAGATTTTGGAGGGTGGACAAAACTGATCTAGAAATCTCTCACGCAACTGGGCCCATGTGGTGATTGTACCAGGTGGGAGTGCCTTCAACCAGTCTTTTGCTGCTCCCTTGAAAGTGACTGGTAGCATCCTTAGCAAAGCTGTCTCCCTTGGGATATTGGGAGTATTAAAATAATCCGCAATATCGTTCACCTCGTCTAAGTGTTTGAAAGCATCGTCGTGATCCTTCCTGTAAAATGGGATATCCTTAAGTGCAGTAAGGATATGTCCCTTCAACTCGAATGTGGCATTTGCAGGAATCGTAGGATGTACTAAACCCGGCCCCACATCATCTCGAATGCGCTTCTTGTAGTCCCCCATGGCCATCTCATCTATATTTGCCATCTCGTTCTCCGGCTCGTCCTCGGGTTCACTCGTATAAAGTTCAAATTCTATGTCGGATTCGTATTCTGATTCGTGTGGAATAGGAATTGGACCAAGTTCTTCAACTTTGCCCTTATCCTTTGAGGCTGAACTCGATTCCACTGTCTTAGTCTTCTTCCCCGACTTCCTTGAAAAGGCTGATTTTAGTTCTTGCAAGGGTGTCTTCTTTGGCGTTTGATCTTCCTTCGCGTTCTTGTTCTTATTTTTGTGAAGGGCTGACTCCGGATCTTCAAGTGGTGGCACCAAAGGTGTGTTAGAGCCTCTGGTCATGAACTCCTGCAAACTAAACAAAATAAAAACGTAAAACTGAACTAAAATAGAAAAATAAACTAAAAACTAAAGAAAACTAAAAATCATAGTTCTCACGTCGTGAGACTATATGCTCACATCATGAGTCCTGTAACAGAAGGAAAAAAATCAAACCTTGCTGGAAAATTAACTTTTTGCGGGTTTTATCCCACAAAAAGGATCGGTTAACTTAAAGCAAATAAATAAATAATAAACTAAGCCGTTCCCCGGCAACGGCGCCAAAAACTTGATGTGCACGGAAGTACCCACTAATTTTAATATTTATAACCTAACAAACTTAGACTAACTATGCACTTGTAGGCAGTGTACCTAGTCAGATTACAGTATAGCTTAGGTAAGTCGGGTGTCGATCACAGGGAACGGTGTTATTAATTAATCTATTTACTACTAAATTAATCTAATTATTAACAAGCTAAAAAGGGTTTTTATCTGATTTTGCAAGATCAGACTAACTTAACTCAAATTCAATCAATAATTAAAAGACACTCTTATCTAGTTCGAATCCACTTCGTCCTTATGGCTAGCTAATAATTATGGATTATTAAGTTGGTTATTATTATATTAGTAATTTAGGTCTAAATTTACCAATAGTTAATTAATTCATGTAAAACTATATGGTCACACACAATTAAACACATACCAATTATGTTATGAATATGCTATGTAAGATTTATCATGCAAACACAATTATGGTCATAATCTATGTTCTCTAGCACAGCAAAGTTAATTACTTCAATTACTAACTAAGATTTTGGTTGATCCTAGCTCTAGCAATTCAATGTTCACTAAATTACTAGGTTATCAAGTTCATGCAGTTAATGGTCACTAAGCTACACATAACATGAATTTAAGCAACTAAAGCAACAACATAAGCATGCTAGGTAACAATAAATCAAACACAAGCAATTCACCAACTAAATAAATCCATATAAAATTATGCTATTCATAAGTTTGAAGCTTCATCTAGCTAGATAAGAGTAGCTAGATTCAGCTGCTCATAGTAGCAACTAACATATAAACACAACTCAAATAAGAAAACATGTCTATAAGGATCAAACAAATAACTTAATTATGAACTTTTACTCTTTTGGTGTTGAAAACCCTTTTTCAGGACCTTGCTTCTGCTGTAAATCGTCTCCTGGAACTTCTTCCTTCAGCCCAAAAGTCTCCCAAATCGTAATGGGCAAAGGTATTTATAATATCTTCCAATTTACCGTTCACGTCGTGAGAATTTAAGTCTCACGTCGTGAACTCGAGATAATCGTATTCGGCAAGGATTCCTTCACCCGGATGCTTATCTTCTAACTCTTTCTACTCACGTCGTGAACCATCAACTGTTCACGTCGTGAGCACGTCTTTTGGGTGTTTTTTCGTTCTTCTTTTCTTCAAGTCCCCCAAAGTTCCAAGCATTGTCACTTCTGGTCCCTTTCTTTGAAAATACTTCTATTTTGGCTGCAAATAACATTTTATCCTCATAAGTACCATAATTCTATGCAAATAACCAAAATATTAAATAAAATGTAGATCAATATTGCCTAAAACTATGTATAAATTTGGCAATACAGAGATGTGTGAGGTTGCTTATTCTAGAGATTCCCTCAACAATCTTCTTGTCTGACATATGCTTCAGTGCCCTAAAGTTCATGTGTCCCATCCTTGCATGCCAACACCATGTTGTTGCATCATGTTTAGCTAGCAAGCACTCTGATCCGACTTCTTTCAGCAAGACTTTGTACAATCGATTTGGTGTCCTCTTAACTTTATCATCAGTTTTCCCATCGTGTCATGCACCCACAGGAAAGCTCCTTGTATTTGAATTTGATCTCCCACTTCCGCCATTTGTTCCAGACTTAGTATGTTACTGCATAAGTCTGGTATAAAATAAACTTCTTTAAGTAGGCGCTGCTCACCGTTGTTGCACTGAAATAGTATCGACCCTTTCCCTTTAATTTGAACCTTTGACCCGTTTCCAAACTTTATATATCACTGAATCATTCTATTTAAGTCTCTAAATTTGCTCTCATCACCTGTCATATGATTGCTTACACCTGTGTCTAGATACCACATACTAGACTGATTTGCTTCATCTCCATTTGACTTCAACCGAGGATGTACCTTTTCTTCATTTAGAAAGACCTCTTCCACCTCTTTACAAGTATTGACTGAAGAAAAGAATAGTGTTGGTTTAGTGTCCACATCTTCTTGAGCAAGATTGCTTTCATGATTTCTCTCTCGTCTTGGATTCGTGCATTCCGAGGCATAGTGTCCGTATTCTTGAAAATTGTAACATTGAACAGTGCTCTTGTCTCGACCACTGGATGTGTTACGGTTTCCATCTCTCTTTTGGTGGGAGCCTCCTCTCCCACGTCCGCCCCGTCCTCGAAATGACCCAGATCCATTTCGATTTTCTTTCTTTGAATCATTCTCTGATTGCACCTTGTTTCTTTCAGACCATTCCTCATGTGTCAAGAGGAGCTTCTTCTCTTTAGGTTCGTCATGGCCCTTCATTCTTTCTTCATGTGCCTTCAGTCTTCCAATTACCTCTTCTACTGTCATTTTGTCCAAGTCTTCGAATTGCTCGAGAGTTGATGCGATCTGCAAGAACTTAGACGGGACTGCTCGTAGTAATTTCTTCACAACGTAAGATTCTTTCACCATGTCTCCCAAGGCTCGTATTGTGCTCACAATATTGTTCACTTTCACAGCGAACTCATCTATATCTTCTGAATCCCTCATGCTTAATGCCTCAAATTCTGACTTTAAGGTTTGGATTCTTGCTATCTTCAATCTATCGGCTCCCAAATACATGATTTTGAGAGCGTCCCATGCCTCCTTTGCTGTTTGCCTTTCTGCTATTGACAATAAAACGTCTTCGGGTATCGCTTGGTAAATGGCCGCCATTGCCGTTTTATCCTTCTTGACCTCTACAACCGTGTTCGTGGTTCTTGGCTCACCTGCATCCCAGACACCTTGAGCTTGCATAAAAACCTTCATTTTAATGGCCCAAGCAGTGTTGTTACTTCTGGAGAGCATAGGATAGTGAAGTGTAACTGAACCATCTTTGTCATTCTTCTCGCTCATTGTTGTCACTCGGGGTTGAAACTTTGGCATACACCAGGTTGCTCTAATACCAAATGTTGGCCAGAGATGACAGTGACAAAACTTGAGACAAACACAAGAAACAAAACAGTGGGGCAAAAGCTGCACACTTCTTATTCACCTTTTGAGGTTCAGATAAAATGACAATACGTACACTTGCCCATTTAAGCTAAAGAAAAAGCAAGAAAACAGGTAACAGACTACTAACTACTAACTCCTCCTCTAGACTCGGTCCAATGGCCAACATGGCACATGACTTATTCAAACTTATTAAAATAAAAGAAACACGTTGAAAAATCTGGATTACATCGCGTGCAAGAAAGAGTTTCATGACAGAAATCTTCTTAAAGAGAGAAATGATATCCTCTTCTTGCCATGTCGTTGTTTTTGAAGCCCATACCACACACACTATTTCTTTAAAGCCCATGCCACACATATTGTTGGGGAAGAGGGAATACCCGTTGCAAAAAGTCTTCAAGTACAGTAAGGACTGTACCTTGATGTGCTCTTATGGAGAGTATTTAACATTTTGAAAAATTTTATGTTTTATAATATGTTTTTTTAGCATATAATTTCACCATGTGTAAAACACGATCGTACGTCTAGTTTACTATATATAACAATTAGTTTACTATATATTACAATTACAATGATGGATAAATATCACCGATCTAAATTAACATGGTAACATGTCTAGTTAAACAAACAGATCTAATTACACATAACTGATCATATGCACACATGAGCCTGCAATCCTACGTACATGGCATATATACAAACGTGATTAACTTAAATGTAAAATTAAAGATTATAAACGATAAAAATATACACTATGGTGCCTTTGTATTGAGAGGTTCCTTAACTGTACATCTTTTCCCGATTAATGCGAATGCTTCCACTCTTCATCACGAGCGTCATTCCTTTGTTTGACCTTCAGAAGTCAGAACATTAATGTGTTTTTTTTTTCTTTTTCTTTTTAGATGATTAACAAGGCTGGCCAGGCGTGCATGTGAGTTTGCCAGCATCACAAGTGAGTGCCTCAACAGGTTCAGGGCAAGGTGGAATCAGACCGGCGCTCTGTTCAGGGGTTGGTTCCCACTCACCACCTGATGGTACGAAAAAGGCTCCATTTAGTAAAGTGTCATTTTGCGATTTCCACTTCCAGTTCTTCCACTCTTCCTCAGGGGCATCATGCCTTTGTGTCACCTTTAAACATCTTATTTTTCTTTTAGATCGATACAAAGAGGCATGCAAGTATATATCATTTAGTAAGTACGCTACATGCATGGGTGGTTTTGCATACCTGTTTCGATTTAGCCACATCAGGAGCCAAAAAACGGTTGCCTTGGCTCAAGATAGTAGGGTCGCTACTACCACCAATAGCATACATTTGCCATTTATTATAGTCGTTGTTAACGACCTGGAAAAAACCATATCGACACCTAGGCAGTCTTTGGATACATCCTTCTCCAAACAGATTGTATGCGACAGTGACTTGCATATTTTTATCTTGAGTATGTGTAATATCTGCCCCTAGCAACATGACCTGTTCATGGATTACAACGTTTTTACATATTTTGTATATAGTTAATAGGCATATAAGAAGGAAATTTTTGATAGGAAGGTAAGAAGTTTTTTTTCTACATATTTTTTTCGCGAACAAACAAAATGAATCATTAGATGATTCATTTGTAAGATGATTCACAAGAAAAAATTCTCAAAAAAACATCTTGATGATTCATTTATACAATGATTTTGTTGTTATTCACTAAAATTGTCATAAAAGTGAATTTTTTCTTAATTTACTTAAAAATGAATCATAAAGATGTTTTTTTTGGGAATTTTTTCTTGTGAATCATCTTACAAATGAATCATCTAGTGATTTATTTATTTTATTTTGTTCGTCAAAAAATATATAGAAAAAAACTTCTTACCTTCCTACCAAAATTTTCTTTGTATCGGATATATATATATATATATATATATATATATATATATATATATTATATATATATATATATATATATATATATATATATATATATAGTACTTGAGATACAAATGTTAATTCTTACTTTGTTGTGACTGGTGAATTTGCAGTTGGAAATGGTTACACAAGTGGCGCCGTTTGTGACATCGACAAGTCCATCTGGTCCATCATTGAGTGTCACATGGTCGATCCATATCTTGGAAGAACCATAAATATAGATACCATCACCATCGTTTTTTGCTCTTGCCCTAGAATGTGTCTCTGAATCACTAATCACACCACCTTCCGTTACTTTTATATGGTGGATATGGATTCGATCATTCCATGAAGACTCACATTGTCATCGACATTCCAATGGTGTACTATGTTCATTCCCAGAGACTGCACCTTAGCAATCGCGACGAGGCACCCTACATCAATGTCTTTGTTCATTACATATCACTAGCTCATGTTTCAGCGTGATCACCATATCTTTGGTGAAGATGATCCATAAAGGTTTGTCTCTCGTAACTCCAAAACGAAGTGTCCCTTCCTTTGGTTTGTCACAAGCGTCATCTGAAGGATCAGTCACCTCATAGATTTCACCACCTTTGCCACCTGTTGTTCCTTTTGCAAAACCAAGGGCGCAATCTGCTAATGCTTGCTGACTGTGATTCTTTTCTGCCCAATCGGGTTTGCACCTCCACACTTGTCTATTGGGTTTGCTGCTTGACAAGTATGCAGGTCCCTCCTTGTTGAATTTGATCCGGGTAAAGATCTACAGGAATTTTATATATGAATAAGAGCTACTACGACATTGTTGCGATTAAAGTTAAATGTCAAACCTTATTTAATTCCAGGTCTTGAGGTCTAATTGCTTACATTCATGAAGAAATATACTCACCCTTCAGTTTGATTGGCGATCTTTGCTGTAAGGATCTTCTCAGGGATTTTAGCTGTATTCTCTTCTAATTCTTCATTGTTGGGTGTGGTTGCGAAGGTGGATGTCCGAGCTAATATAACAGGCACCAAAAATAAGGCCTGGGTAATACAAAGTACGAAATAATGTTTTGTCTTCGTTTGATTCTCTTTTCCACCCCTTTTACAAACTTCTTTCTCAAAAGTACCTAAAATACTACACTACATATGATGATTTTTTTTGAATCACTAGCTTTAATATTCCACGATAAAAGCAAGTGATTCCTTCAATATATTTGTTTTTGGAGATCTTTGTTTTAAATAAGAAAATTTTGCTTATACATATTTAGTAATAAGTGGTTTACCAACAAATACCTGATAACTATTTTTGCTACTAATTAACAACGGGCACCAGGAAGACCACGCAAACCAGGGACAACACCACAAACATCATGCACAACATTTTCGGTTGCTCGGTCCAAAAAATTGACTAAAATGAGACTTTAGATTTATGGCCTTAATTATCCATTTTTATTGAAGTTTAACTGTTTGGAAAAATTTAAAGTTAACGCTAAGCCATCTCCAACGTTTAAATGGGAAAATTGACAAGGTGGATAGAAGGTGATGAGGTGGTTAAAAGTTTGTGAATGTGATGATGCCGTTTAGAGTTTAATGGCCGTTACGTTGAATATATATATATATATATATATATATATATATTATATATCTATTATAGATATATAGATATATATCTATATATATATCTATATATATATAATATATATATAAGATATTATATCAAATATTCTTTTTTTTTTATTCTTTTTAATTTATATTTAATAATTGAATTTATTTTATATTTAATAATAAAATTATCAAACTAAGTAAATAAAGCTTTTTTTTATAGTTTATATTTTTAATTATCTAAAACAATAAAAAAAATGACCAACGGACACGCAAAAGCCCGTCACTATAGACATTTATGACGGTTTTTTTTCATTCAATTTGGAAGTAAAAGTCGCGTCATTGATGATTAGTTGTAGCGATGTTTAATTGTGGTGACTATAACCCATAAAAAATGTTGTTATAGCTAAAAAGCCGTCATTATAATATATCAATTTTTGTAGTTTTTTCAATCATTTTTCTATAAACGTCATAAAAACTATCTTTCGTCACAGGTTATTTTGTTTTCATTACTATTATTGACTTTTAGTGACACATTATTTTTTGTCATGACTATTGTTGACTTTTAGTCCTTCATTTTTTTTAATTTGTCATGACTCATTCATTTTTTTTAATTTATCATGACTATTGTTGACTTTTAGTCACACATTTTTTTAATCTCTCATTACTATTATTGATTTTAGTGACATGTTTTGTCTTTCATCATCATGATTGTTTACTTTTCGTCACACAAAAGAAAGCGACACACAGTTTGCGTGTAATAATTTTAAGTGTTCTAAAAAATTATAGATTTATCAATTTTCAAATTGAATGAAAATAGTGTCGCATAATACATAAATACATATATAGCAAAAAAAAATCCATGTCATCCAATAACATCATTTGTCAAACAAGTTATCAAAAATATTGTACACTACATGTCAAATGCTAGTTAACAAACATATCAAAGTTAACAAAGTATTGTTTATCATAAATATACTATTGCCTAAATTGTCAACACACGTCACAGTTTCATACATACCATTACAAAGTAAAACTTCAAATATAAAAACACTATTTTTATAAACTGAAATAGAACCATTCAAATCATCAATAGAATATCTAAAATCTTGTCTGAACAATGCATGAAATGAAATAATGTTACGTGTCATTTTGACGAGTAGCAACAATTTATTAAATCCAAACTAACACCACTACTAAGCACTAGACTATAAACTCACTATAAACTACAATCTTGGTAACAGAAGAAGATCGCCTATTCCCCATGACCATATTCATTCTCCCGTGCTCCACCTCCTCACTTTTTCTTAGACCCTGCAAATCAGAACAAATGTGAAAACCACATCTTGTATCAAAGACCCAAGAACGAGAAGATGATGAGTTATTAGATGAAATATTGTATATATCTGCAGAAGATGGCTTCACTTTGCCATCCTTGTTGTCTTGTAGATACTTTAGGCATCTTCGTTTCCAATGCCCTTTGTCATTGCTATAAAAGCAAGTGGCCTCTTTGGGATCAGAAGTGTGAGGAATGTCAGAACTAGATTTTTCTTTGGGTTCATTTCTTGACGAGCCAACATGAGATTTTCCTTTCTAGTTTTGTTTAGGAGGACCTTTCCTCTTCCTCCCCTTTCCTTGACCAATGACGAGAACGGGAGCACTAGCATGATTAGGGTTTGAGTTCTTACCTTTCATTCCTGCCTCGGCAGTCTGCAGTAGGTTGTGCATCTGAGCCAAGGTGGTCTTAATGTTGTTCAAATGATAAGCTAAGATAAATTTATCATAACTACTAGGTAAGGATTTCAAGACCATGTCAATGGCCAACTCCTCATCAAAATACACATTTAGCCTAACAAGGCGTTCCACGTATCATTGCATTCTTTGCACGTGGCCACATAATGATTCTCCTTCTTTCATATTGCATGCCATGAGGGCTTTGACCACTTCGTACTTTTCTTGATGAGCTCATGAAACTTTTCCATAAGGTCTTTGTTCATCTCATAAAGCCAGTAGTCCTCATAAAATCTCTGCAACTCAGGGGTCATAGTGACAACCATGATGCAAGCAACTTTTGTTGCATCGTCGTAATGATTTTAGTAGGAGGCGTATTCTTCAGGAGTAGCTTTAGCCTCTTCGACTTCAACAAGTTCTTTCTCGAGGACATAATCTTTTACTAGTACAAAAATGACATACGGTCACACTTTTCAAAAAACACCTGTCATACTTTATATTAAAAGTGTGGCCAAAGGTCACTAAAAAAATTCAAAGACTATTTTTGGATGCATTTAAGTTAGTTTGTGTGACCGTTGTATAGAGAATCAAAACTTTAACCACATTTAATTATATCAAATGTGACAATTATTAGCCACACTCGAACATTATGTTCATATGTCACCATTAGCCACGATTACTGATCAATATTATGATACTTTTTTATGTGAGACAATAGATAAATATATGGTGACATGAGGCAATTGTATATGTTTCTGTATCATGTTGCCTTTTTAGACACATGAAATCCAATGTAGCTAAGATGTGATACATATGGCCACATTAAATACTTATATGTTCATAGGGTGGTGTTTACTAGTGACTTAGTAAAAACAAGAAAACAAGTTACTTTTAGGGGTTTATGGCCATATGCCTTTTATTATGTCTGTCAAAATATGATGATTTGGCTGAAAAAAACCAAATGGCCACATAACATCTTTTTTGTTTCGAATGGGTGGTGTTTATAAGCCACTTAGTAAAATAAAGTAAAGTAATGACTATAAATAATGTATGGTGACAAGTTACATTTTTATGTGTGTCTAAAAGTTTATAATGGTCACCGTAAAATTTTAACATGCTGTTTGGTTGGAACCTTTGAATTTATGTGCTGAATTATAAAAATGACAATTTTACCCTTTGTATTATTTTTTTTACTGAATTCAGTGTTTATTTTTATAAAATACTATGTTTTAACTGGAATAGGTGAAAGTATGATGTTATAATATAGAAATCAATAAAAGTACATTGTTGTTTCTTACATTTAACCCTTCACAAAAACAAGCTTACAATAGATATGAAAAAAAAACATGAACCGAAGAACACTAGTAAAGAAACAGAAACATAAATTATGTAGATAGAATGCAATTTGAAGGTTTTGTTCCTGATAATTGTACCATGACAACTTTGATGCTGTAGAGTACAAATAACGTATTTTTCACCCAGGAAGATTCCATATGGCATGAAATTATAAACAATTCTTATAATCTTGATAGACATAGTTTTTGGCCTAATTGATGCTTACATTGAAGCACGGACATTTTGATGAAGTAATCCAAATTATACATTAACTAGTATGTTACTCCAAAAATGGCTTCGTGTCCACAAGCATATGCTAATCTCCTGTAGAAATATATTCAAACCAATAGGTTAATCCAAATGATTCAATCACATAAGCAACAAGTTTAAATGCAACCCTTTTATAAATCAAGCCAAGCTTAAACAATAAATGATTTTATCTACAAGAAGTATTTTAATGGTCGTTCAATCTGATCTTGATTAAATGACCGATACACAGTGGTAATCAAGTTATACAACAAGGCAAAAAAGAAGAAAAAGTTGGTATATGAACTTATAATCTAATTCATAGCAAAAAAAGAAAGAACAAATCAATGTATTACTAAGAATTTGATTTCCAGTGGAAAAGAGAAACAAGTTGATGTATTCAGGGGAAAACACGATTCCAACAAAAAAATCGATTTTAGGGAAAGAAAGTTTTACCCGAGGGACGTTATCATTGGATTTTTCTGTTGTTGGAGGATGCACTAGTTGGAGGTGGTTCAAGGGTTGGCAGAGGTGGTCACTGGACTGGAGGGCGATGGCTAGAGATACGAGCGATGTGGAGGAGTGGAGACGATCGGCGTTGTAAGGCGAGAGAAGTGGATCACCAACTGTAAGGGAAGAGGTTTAACTAATTTTGCATAGTCGACGCGGGCAATGGAAGAGCGTGGAGGTTGGAGGTGGGTCTCTCGTGGAGGCCGGCGTTGTAGGGCATGCTTGGCTAGATGGAGGAAACGGGGAAGAAGAAGGAAAATGAAAAATAAGAGTGGGATTTTTAATTTTTAGTGAAAAATTGTAATAACCAAATATTCTTAAAAAAAGATAGATTAAATAATATAATTAGAAAAGTTATTGATTAATATTGATTATATAAAATAGATAAAATTATATGATTTTTCTATGGTTTGTATTCATGTGTTTGAGAACAATTATCAAAACATTTATGTGTTTGATTATGTTATTTCAATTGATTGTGTGGTTGGTTTTTTGACCACTGTAAAATAACTTTTAAACATTTTGTAATTAATTTATCATCATACTCACCGTCGTCATTTATAATCATCATTATACATAATTTTTTGAAAATAAAAAACTTTATCCGAGCTTTCCCTATCTATCTTATACTTGTACATGTGGGTGGGTATGTCTAGGTGGGTATGGGTAAATGGTGTAGGGTGTATGTGGGTGGGTGTATATGTATATAATGGTGTTTGGGTAGGGGTAGGTGGATATAGGGATTTTGGATATGGTAGGGTGTTTGTGTTAGTTTGTAGGTAGGGATGTGTGGTTGTGATGGTCGAGGTAGGGTGAGGATGAGGATGAGGATGAGGGTGGGGTAGGTTGTGTATCGTAGGGGTAGCACATAAAAATTAGGAATGGGTTATATATTGTTGGGTGTATGGTGTAATGTAGGTGGGCTTATGGCTTATGGCTCATGGTTTATGGTTTATGGCTTGTGGCTTATGGATGAAGGCTTGGGGTTTATGGTTTATTAAGCCATAAACCTTAAGTTGATGGCTTAGGATTAAGGCTTTGGCTTTAAGCTTGTGTCTTAGGGTTTGGGGCTTAAGGTTTATGGTGTACAACTTAAAGAGTGTGACTTAGGGCTTAAGGTTTATGGCTTAATATAGCTTATCGATTGGGGTTTATGGATTATGGCTCATGACATATAGCTTATGGTTTAAGTTTTAGGGATTAGGGCTTAAAGATTAAGACTTATGGCTTAACCCAACCCTCACTTCCATACCTACAAACCCATGTTGACACCCATCCCACCCACCTATACACACAACCCCCATATTAGCCCCTACCACCCCATATCAGTATCCATACCCATACGAAACTTAAATATTTTTCTTTAGAGTAATTCGTGGTTCATCATTATTAAACAAATTCTAGAAAATCTTTTAAAAATGAAGGGAATTCAAAATTTTAAAACTATTTCATTAGGATAACAATTTTTTAGATATAAACGGTAACAAAAGTTATAATCAAATAACCTTTACTTATTTTTTTGAACTTTTTGAAACCTGAAATATCTAACTAGGGTATTTTTTTCATTTTTAAAAATTTCAAAATCATAAAAATTTTGAAATTTTTTCTACATACTTATTTAGCTTCCCCCTTCGGTGTGCCCTAAAAAAACCGTTTTCGCATCTCTCACGATTTCGTCTCTACTCTTATCCCAAACTCCCCCATTGTATCTTCATTCTTCCAGGCGTATCCTTCGTTATGTGCGTTTCTACTCGCCGCCTCATCTATGTTCCTCTCTCTCAATCGGTGGACAGTGAATCATTAGGCTAAACCGTTGAAGGTGAAGATTGAATTAATTTCAAGAAATCATACATAGAGCAAAAAATAAAGCCACACAGAATCTCGAATTTCGTCTGTGGAATAAGTATAGCATCGGACCAACACAAATATGGCCTCCCAAATTCGTTCATAAAACTCATAATCTAAAGATTATCACTCACACATGTACGTCTCTTTATGATACAATTTTGTTCTATATATTTCTTGTTTTTTATTATGTCTTAAAAGAACTCTATGCTATTTGTTCAATAGTTTGAAGAAAATGGAGTCTTTAAGTTCAGTTAATTGGTTTCATGAATCGTTCCTTTCTGATTTACAACAGCTGGAAATTCCATGGATGTGAAGGAGGTGAAAGAGGAGACTGAGATGCAGAAAGCGAAAATGAAGATGAGTAGAGAGAAAATTCAAGGGGAGGAGTTGACGAATGCTGAGCAAATTGCATTAGTTGACAAATGCAACAAGCATAAACCGAAAAGGCAAATCAATTTGTGTAAATTTCTTTCATGTTTTCTTCTATTATTATCGCAAATTGATGAACATTTAAGAGTAAATTGAGATTCTTATGATTCATTCAATCACTTGAAGATGTTATATCTGATTCAGTTTTCGTCTTCGGTAAAATCATCAATTTGAGAATTTATTTGGACATTCTTTCTGTTATTCTTTCAAATTGTAAATTGATGAATATGTTAGGCTAACTTTAGATTCTGGTGATTCATTCAAGCCATCGAAGTTCTCCTATATGAGGGAAACATGTTGATGTTTATAATTAAGCAACTTTTTAAATTAAACTTTCATCTAACTTCTTGAACTACTAATGTTCTGTAAATGTAAATGAATACAGGTGAAGGTCATTTGTGTGCTGATGTTTCAGGTCTAACATATGATCAAGTTGTTATATCACATGCGCAACATTTTATTACATCCTGATGTACCATTAGTTTTAAATGTTAGTGTTGTAATCTTGCTTATGTTGTTAAATGACACAAGGTGGGAGTGGTATTTTTATTTTAAGTTGTTGACTGCAACTGTTGATGTTTTCTGGAAATTAACATCAACAACATTGAAGGGTATTTTTATTTTAAGGATGCATTTTTGGTTTCATGATAATGTTCTTTGATCTATAGAAATACGTTGGCGTCCGATTAAATTTTGGATCAACAGCGATGAAGCAAAATCTGAAGGTAACAAAGTAGAGGTGAGTGTATATACTCATACAAAATGTGAAAGTGAAACCTATTAGCCATACATATTGTCTTCATTTATTTAAATAAATATATATATATATATATATATATATATATATATATATATATGTTTTAGATGGTGATTGTGTGAGATGATTGTGCATTGCCAGCCCCACGAGGCATAGAAGGGTGAAGAGGTTTGGCTGGAACCATTCTTGTTCACAAGGGTTATCCTCATTAATCCTATAAATCATAAAATCAATGAAAAATATTTTACTATTTATATTTCTTGAGAAATTCATATTGTAAGAGAAACTGCTTGTGGTCTTCCTCTTGATGATGTGGCTGTTGAAGCATGACATTTATGTGGAGTTGTTGGTATAATGGGTGTTGCACTCTCGGTTTGTATGCTTCCAGGTCAGCCAAAATCATATTCTTTGGGTCCAAAAGCAATGGAGCTTGGTCTTGAATTTGTAAGTAGATTGGTTTATCTACTTCATACTGCATTTGTGAGCTTGAATTTTATATTTAAAGTTAAGTAAGTTGCATTTGTTTCAGCATGGCGAAGTTGGTGCAGTTGTGGTCAACATCCAACTTGTGGATTTGGTGGTATCCCATGTGTTGAATTGTATAATCTTTTCCAGTAAACTACAAATGCTTTCTGTAACAGGCAATAGATTTTGAAGCTCATAAAATTGTATCGAATCATGTAGAACTAAAGTTAGGTAATTTGAACTCTATGAATCATGAATTTTTTTTTCCTTTTGTGTTTCTCTGTTGTTGTTGCTTCTTATATGCCTTTTGTGTACCCCTGACCAATTGCTTTTCTCTAATACTACTGTAGGTACCACATGTAGAATCAACTCAAGAAAATGAACTTCAAAACTCCAAGAAGCGCAAAAAGAGTTTTACACGAGAGATGCCATTGTCAAAGCATACAAGGAGCACTATGAATAAGATAAATCAGTTCTAGTTTTTGGTTTCTGACATTTCTTTTCTTTAGCATATTTTGTAGATTTGTTTTGATTACATGGATTTTTTTACTATTTAATTAGGGAACTTATGTATGGATTATTTTCATTTGATTTATTATTTGTATCAATATCCTTTTATCGTTTCACATTGTCGATATATGATAACCATAGTTAGAAAAATTGTGTCTTTAAAATACTTTTGGCTACGGTTTAAATAACTGTCTATTGTCATAGTACAAACAATAGTCACCCTTTACAATGTTTGCGTGTCTAAATGTTCAAATAGGTTATACTAATAACCAATTTTTGCGGTAATAAATTGAATATTGGCCACAATTACAAACACCATTGTGTCTTTAAATCAATTATGATTATTTTTTAACTTATTTATATGTTAAAATGATATAAAATAGTCATAGTTACAACTTTTTTATGTGTTTGAATGATAGAATTGGTGATGATAAGTAATATAAATATGGCCGTAAGCTAATATTAAATCCATAATTTTAATAAAATGTGTGTCTTTATAATACTTATGATTATGTTTCACTTAATTGTCTATTTCTATATGATAGGCAATAGTCACAATAAAAGATTGTTTTTGTGACTAATAAAGCATCACTTATGAAATTAATTACATGTGACCATTTAGTAACATGGTCATGTTTACCGTAATTACATGTCAGCAAAACATACCCAATAGTTTTAATAAACTTAGAATTGTGTGACAACTTATTAGCAAAACGCCACATTGAAACAACATGTATGTAGCCGATTGGTGGTTTACAGTCACTATAATTACTAAACAAATGTGTCTACTGACGGTTTAACGCCACATTATTGAATAAAATGATTGATTTTAGCAACAAAATTCCCTACCCAATAGCCACACACTTTTATAATACGGCCACATTTTTTTCATATCATACGTACACTACATTTTAAAGTTACCATAAGACTCATACGATGGCGTCACCTTCCGTCACACTTTCTGTGAAAAAATAAAATGTCACTATATGCATATGGTCACACTTTTATGGTGTGTTCGTAGGTCATTTTTGTACTAGTGTTTGTTCTCGAATCGAAGAGCCATCTTTATATTCCGCATCCAATCATTTTAATTGGTACCATCCAATATGACTTTGGAGCAGATAGAGAGCAAGGAGAAGTTATGATGGGAGGAGGATGAGAGAGCAGAAGCATCAGCAGAGGTAGATATCTACAAAAGAAGGTAATTTTAGTTAGTTAACAATAATCCTTAATATAGTAACCCAAAGTAAAATATTAAGGCTAGGACTCAACTATATAATTCACAACTTAGAAAAGGGATGTCGTAATCTAATTGTAAATGTTATAAAGGTAGGTAAATGACGATTTACCAATTCAACCAGAAAAGAAATGAAATTAAGTGAAATTCCTAGGTTTTTTGAGATTCATTAAAACTATTCAATGACATGTTTAATCTCAGATTATGCTCTTCTATTTGTGACTGGGATACCGAATATCACAAACAAGATGTGAATAACCAAGAAAATGTGCTTCGTAACCTCAGTGTCATTTATCATCTCAATTGATGTGCCGGTAAACCACACACGCTCCATTAAAAATGATAATTTATGAGATACCCATTACAACTCTTTATTAGTCCCTATTAGTATGTCGGTTAACAACACACGATCCACTAACTACTTATAAAGTGTAATGTGAAATTTCATGGGTTAGCATACTAATTCACATTTTTCCTAAAGTAACTAGATTTGGGATTTTAATAAAAACGTTCTAGTACCTTTTAATAGCATTATACTTTTAATCAGAATTAGTGTCCTATCAAGTCCATTCTGCTACCGATCCTCCAGCAATCAAGGAAGCGTTGGGTGAGAGTGGACACCCATTCAACTACCATTTTATAGACAGTTTCTTTATACCCCCTTATAGACCGACTTCGTGAAGGAGGCATACTAGTGACTTGACAGACTTAATATTATACATATAGTAATTAACATTTATTATTATAAATAAGGTGTATATTAAACTTTTCAAAATACTAGGTTTATTTAATTTTAAATTTCAAAAATTAATGATCAATTAATTTAAATTTACAAAAAAACCAAAATTTGATTTAATATTTGTGTATTAATTATGAATTAATTATATATATTAAATCAAATAAGGATTAAGTAATTAAATTAATCAAATAATTTAATCCTAATCCTAACCCTCTTATTTTCGAAAATAAGGGTGTAGGAGTTATCCAAATTTATAATTATCCCTTTTAATCAAATTAAACTAACAATTATCTAAAATAGGAAACCCTAACAACCTAGCCATTTTCGTAAATCTTGGGGAGGAAGGCTAGGGTTTCAAAAACCCTAACCCTAAATTTCAAAATCAAACAGACGGGGCTAGGGTTACGAAAACCCTAACCCTGGTCGAAATTTTTGGCTTTTAGGGTCTAATTTCTATAAACCCTAATTGATCTAATTCTACTATTATAGCTATTTAATTGAAAATAAACCAAATGCTCTGACATCACTGATAGGAATTAGGTAAAAAAAAATAAACTTCAAACCCTTGAGTTCACATGCAACCTAAAGGATCTATGTTTTCACTATTGAACCTATAACTATGAATATCAAATAAGAAACCCTAGAAACCTTATGTTATTTTCGAAAATTATAAGAAAGGGTTTAAGATTACATACATTGTTGTTATTATAGTAAATAACAAGAACTCCTTCTTTGTAGATCTCTTGGAAGCAAGAACCACAATTGTCGTGTCTTTAATGGTTCACATCCAAGCTAGCAAAAAGGTGGCTTAAGAGAGAGGAGAGGTGTAGCGTCCGCATATTGGGGCTAGTCAATTTAGAGACGATAAGCGTCAAAAAAATGACTTTTTGATAGAGAATTATTTAGAATAAATAATCTTAACTAAGTTTTAGTATATGTCACAAGGTTTTTGTACATATAAAAAACGCCGAAATCCGAGTTATAACGAAGAAGTTATGACATGTCGAAGTTGCGCGACAAAACCAACATGACACTGGAAATCATAAAACGTGAGTTTATTATAAAGTACTTTTAGCCATTGTGATATAAAAGAAAGTTGTAGAGTACATCTCCACCTACGCGTGAATATAAAGAACGTCAAAAATGGAGCTCGTATGCAAAAGTTATGGCCTTCCGAAGATGTAGTTGTCTGAGAGCATGATACGTGTCAGAAACCCTAATTTGACTGAGCTCACGACGTGAACATAGAAATTCACGACGTGAGGAGTTAAAATGCCACTTTTCAAGGCTAGAATGCAGATAGAAAGTCTACGTTTAAGGCTCACGACGTGAGCATTATTTCTCACGACGTGAGGAGTCAAACAGACACTAATCGAAGCTAGAAAACACCTGGGAAGGCTACGGGATGACTCATGGAAGCTCATGACGTGAGCATGTGAGGCTCACGAAGTGAGAGAGCCAAAATCAGTCTATAAATAGCAAATTCGACCATTTCATTCTTTACACCAAAACCTCTTTCCTCTCTCTCATTTCCTGAAGTTGTTTTCCCTTCCCGAGCCTGACAATGACAAACCGCTAACTGTTTCTAGTTAGATTCTATCAAATCATGCTACAAGTTAGGGCATAGTTACTTTCATCTTACACATAGATATGAAATATTTAATATAAATTACATGCAATGTGTGTATATTATTTGTGTTCTTGATATCTATGTTGGATGAACAATTTTATACATGTTTTAAATAATTTAAATTGTATATGTATTTTATATCTACAAATATGTTGGGTAAAACATGGGTAGATGAATTTGATGATGTGTAATGAAATAAAAATTGATGAGAGGTCTCAATGTTCAAGATGATCTAGTCATCTAGCAGAGTATAGACAACGACCACATACTATTCTAGACATTCCAGTGGAACGTTAGCAGGCTCGTAACCTGTAGGTGTTTTTTAACTATGTGTTCATTAGGTGTTTTTGAACTATGTGTTCATTAGGTATTTTTGAACTATGTGTTCATTAGGTGTTTTTGAACTATGTGTTCATTAGGTATTTTTGAACTATGTGTTCATTAGGTGTTTTTGAACTATGTGTTCATTAGGTGTTTTTGAACTAAGTGTTCATTAGGTATTTTTGAACTGAGTGTTCACTAGGTGTTTTTGATTTACGTGTTTACCAGATGTACTCTAAATATCCTGGCAGTTGCGCCTAAAGGATAATATCGGCAGCTGCGCCTAATAGAGAACATCATAATCCTGGCAGTTGCGCCTAAAGGATAATATCGGCAGCTGCGCCTAATAGAGAATGTCATAATCCTGGCAGCTATGCCTAAATGATAATATTGGCAGTTGTGCCTAATAGATAACATTGGCAGCTATGCCATAGGCAACGATGGACTTCGTGCCTATTCCTTAGGAGAATCCTTAAGAATGAAAAAGTGAATGCTAGATGATTCTTAGGGTAGATCCTTAACGAATAAAGAAGATAATGGGGATGGGTAATTGGGTTGATTGTTTGATGATTAAACATAATAATTATATTATTGTGGGTTGAAAACCCTATGTACTCACCAGGTTTCCCAACCTGACCCACTCAACTTATTTGTATCATAGGTGTCGATACGAAGCTACATTACACTGAGAGATTAAAAAAGATGTGAATCATTAGTGTAAATGAATGTAAGGTTTGTTTATGCTTATGTTTTTGTATTGAGAATGACATCCCAAAGTTTTAATATAAACAAAATACATTTCTTCGGAAATGTTTTGATAATATGTTTATCATGCTTTTCTGGGAACAAATTCCGCAACACTTTTCTTTAAAAGGATACTCTGATTTTTAAAATAAAACATAAACAAATCGGTCTTTTTTGGACGTGAAAATGGGGATGTCACAAGAGGGGAGAGTAGGATTTTCGGCTATCTCTTAAGGAGAATGAGTGCCCGAAAATAAGAGGTCTAAGGGTCATTATATAGTGGCACACACTACAATAAACTAGAGTATTTACCCACATATAATTTAGCCACACATGTAAATGTGTGGGTAAATACCCACACATGTTTATATATGTGTTGGTAATCTTCAATTATATTTTTTTCATATTGGCATACACTTAATATATGTTGGTAATATTTTTTAGCCACATTTTATATTGGTGGGAAAATTTCCCCCCAAATTTATGATCGACTAAATTTAGATTACCCACACATTATCAAATTTTAATTATGTGGTTGTAATTTACCTACACATAAATAAAGATTGGAAGTATGTGTGGGTAATATATTGCCCTTTACATACGTATAATATTTATATATAAATATGTAGTTAAATATATTAAACAATATTTTTTTATAAATAACGTGGTAAATTAAATAGCTACACATGTTTATATATGTTTTTATAAATAACGTGGTAAATTAAATACCTACACAGGTTTATATATGTGTGGGTAATAAACACATATTCCATACACATAGTACTCTTAAACTAAATGTGTGCATGAAAGTTAAATGACTTGGAAGTCAAAATTATAATCTTCTAATTAAATTTATACCTGATAACCAGAACATAACAAATATCAAATTCGGAGAAGATCGACACGATCTCTTCCGAAATTGGCGTGCCCATGGCTATAGATGGATGGAGACGGTTGTTCCTTCTGATTCGTCCTTAAAAAACCCAATCAAAACCTTAAAATTATCGAAGGAAGAAGGCAGTTATAGGAACGAGGAAGGAGATTGGCGGTAATGAAATACAGTGCTTAGACTTCAGGGTAGTGTGAAGTATTCGACAATTCCAGGTACTTTTACCATTTTTAGCTTCATTTGTTCACAATATAGTTTATGTTTTTTGGATCGACACTTTTATTGGATTAATTTAGTTGTTGTCTTGTTGATGTCCCTAGCATACAGTACTTCTCCATACCTGTGATATCTATATTGGTTATTCATACAAGATTCACCTTCATGGACGCAATTAATATTCTTGTACTTATTCTAATTGGTTTGATGTTTAGGGCTTTAGGATATGCTATGTGTATATAGTCTCTTCCATGAAACATCTAAGCAGATTTGAAAAATTGTACTAAGATTCCTATAAGGCATGTAAACAACATTAATGAATAGCAATTAGCAAATAACTTGAAATCACCATAAAAAAACTTCTCTTTCCCTACAAGAAAAAAAAACCCAATTCATATACAAATGAGAAAAACTTATAATAATTAGATTCAGTCATTCAAAAAATGAATTAGCATTTAACAAAGTAACAAAAAGTATAATTCAAAATCAGAAATTATAGCAAATGTTCCAGTTTAATCAGAATTATCAAAAATAAAACTTCAATCTATGAAATATGGGGTAGTGTGTCTTTTGTGTTTAAAGTGCGAATATCTATGAAATTTAACCAAGCGCAGGAAAGTAACGACATTATGAGATTATGAGGGGTGGGTGTATTTCCTTATATTGTATGTTTGGTGTGAAATTGGGCCAAGGGATTTCACAATGGTTTTATACATAAATCTTTGGTGTTTTTCAATTCTAGGATATATTGTATAATACGTTATTAATAGTGACGAAGATGACTCTTTTGCATGATTTTCTTTATATTTGTCGGTTAGATTTTTGTAACAATCTTTTTATTTTTAAATTTATTATTATCGATTGAGTTATAAAATGTTTTTTTTACAGTTGTAAAGGGCATAATGTCAAAAAGAGGCAGAAGAGGTAGACGAGGTGGAATGAGTAGACAAGATGGAGAACGTACTACTCTTTAAAACACAGCAAATTCAGGTAATATTTAATCCCATTTTCCTCAAATAATCTTTATTACATTAAATATGTATGTTTCTATCATGGGTAGGGTTGTCAATTGGGTCAACCTGATCGGGTTTCCAGTGAAACAAATTGGATCATATTTTTTTAATTTTGACCATGAATTCGACCCTATTAAGGTGCATCTTAGCCTAAGGTGCATGTTAGTCTGGTTAAAATGTGAAATGAATTACTGTTATGCCATTTTAGTAAATAAATTACATTTATAGGAACTTAAAATGTAAGTTTTAAAAAATATAAATTGTGGTCACATTCGCATAATCACTTGTACACATACCACTACATACAATTATGCCATTTTAGTAAATAAATTACATTTATAGGAACTTAAAATGTATGTTTTTAAAAAATATAAATTGTGGTCACATTCACATAATCACTTGTACACACACCACAACATATCGTGTATACATACACCTATAGCTATTAAACACAAAATAAAGAAAATAAAATAACTTGTATTTCATGCCATAAATGTTATACTTTTTTTCTATTGAAACTACTTATGTACTATTTTTTCTAATGTCAGAGCAACAATAGTTACATCTTGGATAAAATTGTGTTGGTGTACAATCATTTATGTAGACATACACCAAGAGTAATAAATTGAATTATACGTACATTGTATTTTTGGGTAAAACAATACTAATTATGGTACTATACAATATTATATAAGTTGAAAAAAGAAAATAGAAGTCTAAATTAAACTTACTCTTATTAATCGACTCATAATAATAGAATTAAAATTTAGTTTTAAATACAATATCATAATCCAAAGTTAATAGCTCATTACATAACCATCATATCAACTTGACACTATCCACATATTGGATTGTATTTTTAGTTTAAGTGTTCTACAGTAAGGGTGGAGGACTGCCTTTCGTATTGTTGTGTTTTTTTTCTTTAAGATTTTTTATCCTTACACTTCACAACCTTCTATTTTTAAATTTTTGTCTATTCCACCTCCTCACTAGTAATTTTTTATTAATAATTTTTACTTTTTGGTGTAACAATTTCTACACCTCTTTACTAATATAACTGCTACAACCAGATCCAATCCCTCAAATATCAAACTATCAACCTCATCCAATATCAAGTACACGTAACAAGTTTTTGTTCTTATTTGTTACACTAATGTTTTGATCGTTACTAATTCTTTAGCTTTGTAAATAGGCACATCTGCAACAAACGTGGTTATAGAGCGATCTCAAACAACTGAGCAACAATCTGGTTAGAAATATGTTCAATTTTACACTTTAATATAATTTATTATGTCATGTTGTAAATATAAACTTATTTTTACTTGCTTATAGACCCAATTTATGAGACCGAACAAGAACATGGTACCGAACAAGAACATGATACTGATACTAAAAGCGCAAAACGTGAATTGACATGTGGCAATGGTGCACGAAAGACAATGAAAGCAGCCAAGAAGAGATTGATAGTAAGATTCAATTTTAAAACAATGCAAGTAGTATGTGACAATGCCTCAGCTTTCATGTACGAGTGTGGCTCCATTTTGCATAGTAATTGTATCTTGCAGTACAAAGAATGGAGACATGTACCAGAAGAAGCTCGGTTGCCGTTACGCCACAGGCTAACTGTAAGTTTTGTTTTTACTAATTAAGTATATGATTGTTAACATCCCATTCACTAGTCAATTAATTATATTTGTTTCTTGAAGACACTTTTTGAAATTGATGTGGAGGATGCGAACGTTCGCAAAGTTATTGACAACCACATGGCAAGGGCTTGGAGAAACTACAGATCTCAGTTGCATGATTACTTTAAAGGGATAGGAGGACCAGTAGATCCAACAAAGGCAAAGACTACAGCCCCCTCCAAATATGGGTAGCAAAGATGATTGGGAGTATCTTTGTGATATGTGGTGTGACCCAAAATACATGGTAATGTTTTAAAATATTTGAAGTATAATATTATTAATCATTACTAAATTCCATTTAAATATTTCTTTTATTGATTGGGTTGTTAATCCTTAAAGGAGACTGCAGAAAAGAGGGGTATGGCTCGTGGAAAGCGTAAAATGAATAGTAGAAATGGTTCAAAAAGTACAATACGCTATCACATCGAAGGTAGACTTGATTTGGATTCTTCAACGGGTCAAATTGAGACTTGGAGGCTTACACATTAGGATGAGAAAAAAGGGTCGAGATCTACCGATGAAACTGCAAAATATGTAAGTGTACTTGCTCATTTCTTATTTGTACTTATTGAAATTGATTAGACTTTTTAATTGTAAATTGTTAAGCATTGTGCTTACATCAGACCTTAACAATGCATAAGCATATTAGCATTTTAGGCATTGTATTTATTTAACATTGTAGCATTGTACTTACATCGGTCCTTAACAATGCATAAACATATTAGGCATTGTAACTACTTATAAATGCTTAATGTAAAGAAATAATCTCATCTATTCTATACCAATCGAATAACTAATTGCAACAGACTTGGACATTACATCATACATGGACATTTTGGCATATTAGACACTGTACTTGCATATTAGCATTATAATTTGCAAATATGTACCTAATTATTCTTTCAGTAGCGGATGTGGGTATTTTTTTTAACATTTTTCATCATTCATTTCAACATTTCTTGAACCATTATTGGAGTATGACCTGGCCTTACCCATTGCAACCCCTTCTAAATGTGCTTTATTTGGTAATTAAGTGGTTTTTTGTACTTGCCTTATAATTTGTCCTAACATGAAGATATGATGAAGCGGAGAAACGAGCATGTCGTGGAATCAATGAGCGATAAGTCTATTCTAGAGAAGGTACTTGGTCGAAGATCTGTTCGTTTGTCAGGGTGGGGATGTGATCCTATTGTTATTAATTAGTAACACCACGGGTTCTAATAAGAATTCAAAGCACCCTACTTATGATGAATTAGTGGATGATACTCAAAAGTTGAAAAAAAGATGTGCAATTATGGAACAATTTTTGATTAAGAAAAACAGCATGCCTCCTCCTTCAAGTACATCACCGAGACTATCTGAAGGTGATACATTTGACTGTGATACATCATCCCACTCCCTATATGGACAATCTCATGGTGAGAATATTAATGAGTTTGATCATATGGAATGAGTATTCAATAATTTTTAGTATATTCCTAATTCTCGTACCTATTTATAACTAGTTTTTTAGTTAGTAGTTGAAGTATTTTAATTTTAATAGTTGAACTTTTTATTTGTGGTTTGAAGTTTAAGCTATGTTATAAATTTTTTAATTAAAAATAGTATTTTACCCACATATATTCCTTATTACACCAATCCATTTTGTAATCGTTTGTGCATATTGGATCATTATTATCTACATATATTACGGTTAATGCCCACACATAACTACATTTTTACCAACACATCTATATTTTTTTCCAACACATAAAAAATTAATACCTACACATCTACAAGATTTACTTACACATAAAAATTCTTTTGCCACCACATAAAATACTTTTACCCAACACATCTTTTATAACACGTGTCACTAACACTTTTTAGGGGAATGCCATGTAATTTGCCACGTTAGCATCCACGACATCAATGAACACCCATGTCATCGTCCTTGTCATCGGACACATCATCAGACACGTCATCGGCCAGGTCATCTTCCCAAAAATCATACGTGACCTTTACCAATGCATAAGTATTACTTTTTCCTACACATACATGTGTAGGTATTGCTTACTCTATGCCCACACATTAACTATGTGTGGGTAAATATTTATATCTACAGTCATGAGCCAACACATGTTAACACTTAATTTATGTGTAGGCATAGATAATTTCCGACACGTAATGGGCTTTTATCATCACATAATATATGTGAGTAAAGGGCTAAAGTTCTTGTAGTGACAGGAAACCCTAGATAACCTTGATTTGAATATTAAATTAATATTTCAAATGTGGTATTTATCTCATTCCTTATTTATCCATATGTGATATTCTAGAAACCCTAGAATATCCCCTCAAAACCGTTCATCCCTAGGGTTGGCAGGTTCTGGAACCTTTTGTTTAACTATTGAACAATTACACTTTAGACCATGCACTTTTAATTAAATCCATTAATCCCAAAATGAATTCTAATTAATTTCTGATCAATTATTAATTAAGTAATAGCTTTATTAATTAATATATTATTTTCATAATACATTAATAAACTATTTATTTCAATTTGTTAATCACATAATAAATTAATCTCTCTCTCTCTCTCTCTCTCTCTCTCTCTCTCTCTCTCTTTCAAAGTCATCCTATCTAATTGCTAGGTTTGAGGGCAACCCAAAAGGACTGTGCTACTATCAGTTTAAGTATATACCAATTTTAGTTATGAGTTCAGACACCTAATCCAATAGTTTTATATTTTTAGATTAGGACCATCCTATTTTTTGCGTTCGGTGTTATTTTTTATGTGTATAATGTCATTTTTAGTTTCTAAATGTTATGTTTAATTTAGGATTTAATTAAGTAGCATGTTTTATTAATTTATATTTGTTTTTATAAATATTCTAACGAAAATAAAAAAACAAATTGAAAAAAATAGAAAATAAATAAATCGAAAATAAATAAAAAAGAAATAAATCGAAAAATAAAAATAAAAAATGATGACATGGAAATTAGTGAGTGTTATAACATATTAATTTCTTTAATTAGTGTTATAACACCATGGTTGACATGACATATGACGTAAACTTTTTTGGTGTGACAACTTTTTAGTGTGATAATATACATTAGCATGTTATCAACACTTAACAAACTTATGGTTTATAAATATAGACAATATATGAATCGATCACCTTTATATAGTGAGATAATGACTTAAAACGATAATATATTTTTCGATTTGTACATATTTGGTCATTGAGTTTGTTTTTCGTTCACATTTACCCCTTCAACTTGTTAAATTGTACACATTCAATCCTTATTACCGGTTACTCCAGGTTAGCCGGGAAAAATGACTTAATAGGGTAATATATTTCTCATTTTGTAGACATTTAGTCTTTAATATTTTGGTACACATTTAGTCCTTAATATTTTTTCGTTTCAAAATAATTTTTTCTTGTTTTTGTACTCATTTAACACTTATGAATGATTTCTTTAGTTTTTTCTCATAACATCTTACGTGAGACAATCATTGATGATGTGTTTGGGGCTGTTGATGCTTATGTTCATCTTTATCTCGACTGTTTGGTTGTGTAGGTCTTGTTGTTTGGCTTAGGCCTTGTGTTATGAACGTCGTATCATCTTCATACGATATCAGATTTTAACGATCTTTATATCCACGTGTTTGTTTTTTGAGTCTACTACAATTTTCGTTAAAATTAATCCTGTTAAAATGTAATATATTTTTACTTACGATTTTATAAATAAATAAATAAATAACATCCATACATGCGTTCATAAAAAACATATGGATATAAAGATTGTAAGTAAAAATATATTATTTTTTAACGGGAGTAATTTAAACGAAAGTTGTAGTAGACAAAAATATGAATACATGAATATAAAGATCGTTAAAATCCGAGATCATACAAAGAAGTTATTACGTTCAGAACACATGACCTAAGCAACCAAGTAATCGAAATCGCGATGGACGTGAGCATCAAAAGCCCCAAACACCTCATTAATGATTGTCCAATGTAAGATGTCGTGAGAAAACCTAAAGAAATCATTCATAAGTATTAAAGGAGTATAAAAAACAATAATGACTTATTTTGCACCAAAAATATATTAATGACTAAATATGTACAAAAATATTAAAGACTAAATGTGTACAAAGCGAGAAATATATTACCATATTAAGTCATTTTTACCGGCTAAGCCGGTCATAAGTCCTGAATGTGTACAGTTTAACAAGTTGAATAATAAATATCGAATAAAAAAAAACTATACCAAATTTGTAAAAATATATTAACTTTTTTAAATCATTATCGCTTGATTAGTATCTCAAACTCATTAGTATCTCCAGCTATTGGTTCTAAAATAAAAAAGAAATAAAATGTTACTTTTGAATCGCGGCAACGTGAAAGACTAGAAAGGGTTTTTAGGATTTAACAAGAATGGTCCCTTCAATTTAATGCTGTCATTATTTCCCCCAAACCCGTTTTCATAAGATTTAACCCATGGACTTATATATATTTCTTTTAATTATTTTAAATAAACTCATAATTATTTAAATAGATTTAATAAAATTTAATTATTAATTAAATCCTATAAATAATTTAAACCTCAGTTAAATCCTTAAAATTCCAATTAATTAACCCCTTTTTACTGAATTTAAACATTAATTAAACTCTTAAATATAATCTTGTCACATTCAAACAATTTAATTTTCAAAATAATTATATGTCATATTTTATTTCTTTTTAAATGGCAAAACTCCTAGTTTTAAATCGTGAGAATTAACATTCAATGAATATAAAGTTTAATGGTTATATAATTTTTTGTTGAGAAAAAAAAAAGAATAATGTTGTATTAAGGTTTGTAGAATTCTAAATTTTTTGATAGAGTTGTTAGCAGGATAAAATAATGGTTTCCCATTATGCCCTAATAGGCTAATATTAAACTTTTGTAACATGAAAGATATGACAATTGATGCATCATGATGGTTACTCTTATCCCCCAATTAGATACTATTTGGATATATACTTTTGGTGGCTTGCAACATTAGCATAATCAATATCAACACAACGTGTACGTTTCAAGCAATAAAAGTATACTTCATTTATATCACGTTGCTTTTATTATTTTACATGTGTATGACAAAAGCAAATGCAGATAAAACAAATAATCTAATCTCTAAGTAGTGACTTTTAGTGACTGAAAATATTCAGTCAGTAAAAGATCAAATATTAATAACAAACTTTGGTGAAACTTTAAATGAAGAATAACTAATGACAAGAGATTTCAGTGATTTCTCGTAGTCAATTAGTCATTGACCTTATACTGTCACGGTCCTTATTCCTCGGCACCACCTTAATGTTCGTTGTTTTGGGTGCTTAACAAGGCGTCCCAGGTGAGCAGACGAGTAAGCCAGCATCAGCTGTTAGTTCCGCAACTGGTGTTGTGTCAGGTGTGATCATTTCTGGGGTTATTGGTATATCACCACCAGATTGTTTGAAGGTAGCTCCGTTCTCTAAAACGTCATTATCTGATTTCCAACTCCATTTACTCCACTCGTCCTCAGTGGCTTCAGCCCTTCGCGTAACCTTCACAATACAAGTTTTAGTTAGACCAAATAAAAAAGAACATTATGACGGAAGTTAAATTGTTTATAATAATATAAAGTTCACTGGAATAACCGAATAAGAGACTTTGCATGGTTGGTTTTGCATACCTCTTTATAATTAGCGCCATCGGGAGCCACATATTTGTTACCTTGACTAAGAATGGTTGGTTCGTTGCTACCACCGATAGCATACTCTCCCCATTTCTCAAAGTCATTGTTAACGACCTGTGTAAGTCCCCATCGACACCTTGGCATTCTCTGAATACAACCTTCTACAAACTTGTTGTATGCGAGAGTAACTTTCATAGCTTTATCTTCACTATGTGTAGCATCTGCTCCTAACAACATGACCTGATCACGTATGAAGAAAATTAGATAATTAATATAGATACGTATGTTCAAGATGCATGATCATATTCAAATGTTAGTTTCTTACTTTGTCGTGCTTGCTGAATTTGCAGTTGGATATGGTCACCATTGTCGAACCCATTGTGACATCGATAAGCCCATCTGGGCCATCATGAAACCAGCAGTGGTCGATCCATACATTCGTAGAACCAAAAAACCATAATACCATCACCATCGTGTTTTGATCTTGGCATTGCTTTTCCCTCATTACTCTTAATGTTACCACCGGGGGGTTTCTTGAATATCGTGGATGTGGATCCCATGAATAATGACATTCTTCACATTGTATACACTGAGACCTCCACCATTACAGATCTCGACGGCTGCACCCCTACCATCAATTGTCTTATCATTATTTATTACGAGCTCTTGTTTTAGATTGATAACCATATCTTTTGCAAAGGTGATCCATAAAGGTTTGTCTCGGGTAACACCCCAACGGAGGGTTCCTTCCTTTGGCTCCGTAAAATCGTCATCTGAAGGATCAGTCACCTCATAGATTTCGCCACCTTTGCCACCGGTGGTTCCCTTTCCAAAACCAAGAGCGCAATCGGCTAATGCTTGACGATTGTCTGCCCAATCGGCTTTGCACCTCCAGCACTTGTCTATTTGGTTTACTGCAACGCAGGCTTTTAGGTTCCTCCTTTTTGGAGCAGCACTACAAAAGATTTACGTATATAGATAATAGTTACTACCATGCACACTGCTGCAACTACATATACGTGTATATAACTCTATTTAAATTAAAGAAAAAACATAAACGCACCCAAACTCTGCTGCAAACAGCTCGGGATGATGAGGATCGCCATGTTGGTTTGTATTTTCATCTACATCTCTCCGACCAGCTGCTAAAATACCCGGCGCCATAAAAAGAACGACATGGATGAATAACAGAATTAAATTATGAGTCCCCATCGACCTCTTTCCTTAGAAGTACCTTAATATTATATTATACCAATCTTAAGTGAATCACTATGTTAATTATTCCACAACAATTAACAGAAAGTGACTCGTTGTTAGGCTTGTCCTTGTAGATCTTCGATTGGTTGTTTATATAAGAAATTGTCGATGTAGTAATATGCGGTTTACCAAAGAGTACTTGGTCACGATCGTTACTACTAACAATCAACACCAAGAAATTACACGATGACCAGAAAATAAGGACGACACCACATTTATTAATTTTGCTCGGTCTAAAAGTTTTCATTAAAATGTGGGATACAGAGTGATTGTCGGACGTTCTTCGATATAAGCAAATAAGCAGTATATATGTCATAACTACGTTATAGAGTTAGAATTTCAAGATTTTTAATTCTTATAATTATTCTTTTAAAAACGGAAAAAAAATTAGAAAGTTTTTAACCATAATGCATATGAAATTGTATGCCAAAGATATATATACGATATATATACATTCTTCAGTGAACAACACTATATAAAAACTCAAGTATTGGTACTCTATTAACTATCACTATGTATCCTCCATAAAAAGCAACTTACTTTGACTAATTGTCAAAATATCATATCTACTATTTCAAGATCTTGTAACAAAATCATAATTATTTTTGGACAGCCACGATTTTATTAATATAAATTAATGACTAATGTAGTTTGGGGTAATTTGTATGTTTGGTTCCAAACTTTTTTTTATTTCCATATGTGGTTTGAATTTGTTTCGTTGTCCATTCCAAATGTATAATGCACAACTATTACATCTTTTTTTTGTTTCTTTACCCTTTTTATAATAAACTAATAGAAATGGGCCCCACATTATGTGAGATGTATAATATATGACTATTATGCCATATATAATTCATGACCATTATATATTTTTTTAATTTCTTTACTCTTTTTGTCGCTCAATCTCACTTACTCATGTCGGGCATTTTTATCGACACCTTCACCGAAAACTACTCCACTACCACCATAACAACCCCTCACCTTTTGAGAGTGTTAAGAAACCAAAATTGTGATCCATTTTAGGGGTTTTGTATAGAAACTTCTGATGGAGGCCAACTTATGTCACAAACTGACAAATTGTAATAGTGGTGATGACCCGATTTTGTTTCTGAAGTTGCTGCTTCATTGGAGAACCTAATCAAGGCGGGTTTTTCTTCGATAAACAACGCCCTAGCCCTTTGCAGAATCCAACAATATTGGCTACAAAAAAAACAAAAGTGGATTTTCTTGTGGTTGTGAAGGGAAATGGAAGGTTGAATTAGAAGTTTGTTACCTCCAAATTCGTTCGAAGATCGTCATAATGATTTGGCTTGTTGGCGGGGACTTATTACTTATGGTTCTTGTAGACATGTGATCTTCTACTTTCAGGAACCAAAACATAAAGTCAATAGTAGAGTAGAGTAGATAAGCGGTGTACATATCGCCGAAGACTATATATGTGCATGTGGTGGAGGTTGTAGTAGGTTTTAATAGTGAAGACTAGTTAACTTGTGTAATTAGAAGACAATATCGTTGGATTAGGATGTCTAAGGTATTAATTAAATTAGTATAATTGATTGAAAAATAATAAAGTCATCTTTGAGTTGCCCTCGTAACCAGGAAAATGACATGGATTGATTATAAGAGATAGATAATTAATTTATTAGTAATATATTATGGGATTGATATATTAATCAGAAATGAAAATTATTAATTAAGAATTAGTCATAATTAATTAACTATTGTGTTGTATTAATTAGAATTAGTTATTGAGTTTAAGGGGTTAGAATGTAAATGTTTAATAGTTGAACAAGGAGACATTCTAGAACCTCCCTGCTAAGGACGGTTTTGGGAGCCTCTTGGGAGGTTGGGAGGGTTCCAGAAGCTTTCTTGGTCACTAAGGAAACTAATAAGGAAACAAGGAATATTTTATTAATATTTTAGATTTAAATCAGGGTTTCCTATAATTATAAATAAGGACCTCTATAAGACTCAAGGAACCTTGCATTCAAGCAAGGAATTTCGAAATCCTCTCCCCTCTCTCTATTTCAATCCTAGGGTTTTTCCTAGGGTTTGGGTGTGATTCATTAGAGGCTTCCACACTACTGGGGCTAGCATTCCAAAAGTCTTCAAAAGTACATTGTTATTTTCAAAAATAACAATAAGGTATGTTTTAAAAAACTCTTTTGATTTTCAATTTCAGCTAGGTTATTTAGTAGTTTCAAAGTATGTTGTTATTATGAGAAAAGCCATAGAACTGTTTCTAGGATTGCATGTGCCCATAATTAGTTATGTGAATGTCGCAAGTACATAGAACTAATATAGAAAACCCATCAAATATCACATAGTATCGTTTGTCAGTTTTACTATTATGTTAACACTAACAACTATTTGGAGTGAACACCAAAAGAGGAAGCGTTGTGTGCGTGGTGCACATGAACACCATCCTCGGGTGCACATCAATAACGTCGAAGAGGTGGGAAGTAGACGGGAGCACAGTGGTTGATGCCTTTTTCTCTATCTCCCTTTTCCCCTCTCTTCTCCTGTGCGTTAAAACCACTCTGGTGGTGGTTGTAAAGGAGTGTGATTGATATGGAGGTAAGGTGGAAGGTGGCCATCTCGGAGCCACATTAGAAAACGCCCTCTTTCGGTAGCCTCCACTCATAGTAGTCTTAGTTTCATAATGTACCATATAGGCATACTTTTTATTGTCTCCTAGTTCACTTATCAACTTCCACTATAAATACTCTTCTAGGCGTTCATTTGTAAACATGAGTTGTAATCCATTCTCATCATTGTTTCTTTATAAATACAACATTTCTTCTCTCATATATTGTGTTAATATTCTAAGTGTTTTACTTTAAGTTTAAAACACCCATCAATGGTCTCAAAATGGTCTCTCTAAGCACTGTAAACTTTTAGAACAAAGTTCTATTAGGATCGTTAGATTCTATGCAAGCAAACAATTATGAATGTAAATAAGAACACGAGTATGACTTTGAATATGTCGTATGATTAATGCTTTAACACCTCAGAAGAGCTCGATTAAGAACTTCGACTGTAGAGGTGTTTAGGGTTACAAAACAATAGACGTAATAATCAACTTCGTATTATGCATACATGCATGCATACTTATAGTATAACCCTACTAGATAATCACGGATGGACAGGCCCAATCCGGATACAAAACATAAAGCCCAAGACGCAACACAATTAAACTCTACAATCTCCCCCTTTGCGTCTTTGGAACCGAAAGCTCACTTCGGTTAAGCTGCAGAAGTCTTCTTTACTGTTTTGAACACCTTCGGAATGATAGCCAAAAGATGATGACAAAAAGTTATGTACCACCGAAGCATGTCAGTGAAGTTCTTCTTGTCAGCTTCTGAGTTCTGCTTGCACCGATGAATAATGTTGATGATGTGCTCTAAGCAGTCGGTTGAAAACAAGTGTTTATCAACAAGGGCAAACAAAAATCTGTGAGCTTTGCCTTTGGTAAACATCACAGTGAGATGTGTTGAATCTATTTGGCCCATCTTCATTTTGTTTACATCTCCTAGTTTCGGTGTTGGCTTAATGGTCGGTTTCTTGTTCATGACTTTCGCTATCTCTTGATCCATAGCCATAACCTCATGGATGTAAGAAGCCAACATCCTCTTCAAGTGTTCCAAAATCGGTTCATATTCCCTCGGATTTGTAAGCAGAATATTGAATAATAAAATCCAATCATGAGGGTTTATGTTTGGAAGGTCTTCCAGGGAGATAATCGACACCGAGTTTGTAGAACCTCATGTGATTTTGAAATTAACATTCACAAACTTCCCAGCAGGTGTTGGTTTGAGTACCTTGACAGTGATTATTTTCTGAGCACTCCATGTCATGTACTGAGGTTGTCCATACTTCAAATAGAAATCAATCAGCTCTCGGTCAACCTTTGGATGAGGAAAAGGAAGCTCAGCATTCGAGTCAAAGAAGTGAAACGTGAATGCTTTTCTTGTGATTGGCATATCGAACTGCGAGTCCTTAGAGTTATCACAGTCAAACGAAGCAACAGGTTCCAACCAATAAACACTTGGAAACTCTATAACTTGATTGATAAGTGCCTCTTTAGTCCATAAGGGAAACAAGGCCTTCTTGCAGTTCAAGGCTTCTTCTTCTTCCTTGTTTCTCCTTTCACTCTCCTCTGCATCCTTTGCAACCTTCAAAGTTTCATCAAGCTCTTTATCTCTCTTCTTTCGCTTGAGAGCTTCAGCAATAGTTTCACCAGATTCATTATCGCTATCATCATCAATTCCCTTTCGCTTGCTTTGTGAAGCAGAACCTGAAGCTACATTATCCTTCAGTTCGGTTGCTTTCGGTTGGGTAGTTTCTGTTTTCACAATCACCTTCTGTTGAACACCTTCTCCCCCTTGTTTTGGAGGTGTGAATGGCTCCGAAACACCCTTCATTTCGTGTAACATGGCAAGGACAGGAAGAAGTTTCGTAGTGAGATGATTTCTGATTGTCAAAGTAAGAATAGGATCATGAGCACCAAGAAGATTGGTCAACATGTCCTTAACATCCCCAGCACAGCTACGGAATATGGCCCTTTCAGTTTTCAACAAAGAAATCTCTTTTTCTGCTTGGGCTAGCTGCACTTTCTGAACTTCAATGGTGGAGGATTGTCGGGCCATATCTTCCTTTAGAGCACTTTCTGTTGCTAGATTAGCGTGAAGAGATTCAAGGCGAGAAGTCACTGAGCTGATAAGTGATGAATTATCGGTTTGAATAGATGAACGCACAGCTTCAAACTTGATTTGCTCTTCTTGAAGAGACTTAGAAAAGGAATCCACAGAGGCTTGAACCTTGGCTGCATTCGTGTCTGCATGCCCTTTCAGCGACTCAAGAAAAATCTGAGTGGTATGAACAATGTCAGTAACATCACTGGTGGCCCTTTTGCAAGAGGAGGTAGACGCATCAATGGCTTTTATGGATTTATCAATTGACTCTGTGTATTGCTCTAGAGCAGTATCCATAAAAGCTTTGAGCACCACTCCACTATAGGACTTGCTGTCTTCAAGCAACTTATCCAACTTC